CACACAAGCAAAAACGTTTCTATTTTGTTAGAAGAAAATACATGACAGTGGAATTTATGTGATGACTGCATACAAATAAGCATGCCCAGAAAACAGTTAAAGGGGAGAAAAATACCTATATGAAATCTAATGGGCAAATTAGGAAATTGTAGTTACAGGAATTCAGTTGCTACTTAGTGTTTATAGGGAAGCACAAAGAGAACATCAAAATGCCTGATCACATCCCGTCTGTTACCACCTCTTGCTGGATAACATCTTGGCTGCCAAAAAAGCTATTTCAATTTACTATATTGCAGTTACTGATAAATATCACTTCTGTGAAGATCTAATACTAAATAAGGACTAGATCTGAGGATAAAGCTCACAAGCAGTTGTGTCAAAAAGATCCACATTTTGCTTAGTGTAACACCTGTACTCTTACAAGCCTGCAGTTTCTTACTCCCTGCCTGTGATATGTTTTTAATAGAGCATACAACTGTACAACAATCCTCAAAAGCTGGATCATGTCAACAACAGAAAGAAATAAAGCTAGAATGGAAAGAATGACATAAAAAAAGAAAGAAGAAAAGGTACTGCGGGGAGGTGACGGAGAAGAGGAAGGCTACTATTCAACAATTTTGGAGGTGCTTACTCCAGGCACTTTCCACATAGATCTGACAGCCACAGAATGGTGCCATGAAACTGCCTCCAGCAATAGAATACATTTTCCAGGACATCACAGCAGCTGCAATGGCATCAATTCTGCTTGCAATCCATGTCCAAACAGAAAAGTTCTCAGTGGTCCTATTTCAGCATATCTCAAGGACTAATTAAATCCTCATTACTATCTTCTAATTATTCCAGTGCTCTGGGATTTCACTGAGCAAGTCCCCAATGGTGCATTAGATGAAAAGGGTTAAATAACCTGTGTTGATTTTGAGACTCCAGATCTATTTCAGACCTTTAGCATATCATCAGCATTATCATGAATATTTAACTACGTACCGCTGTGAAAATTATAAGGGGAAAACAATTAAAGATTTTTTAAAAATTAATTCTGACCCATATACATTTGCACTAATAAATAAGGCTTCTTTAAGTATCCCCATTATGAGAGTGCTTGCTAGAGTAATAACGTGAACTCATTAACTGTTTCCATTAAATTCAATGGTTTTCAGGAGCTCCCAATTCACTATTTTAATGTAAGACTGAAACCTGACATGTACATACCTAGCTGGATAAGCATGAAAAATACGACTTAAAAGTAGGTAAGTTTTCTAGGCTTTTTCAAAATTAGGTAAGGAACCATTCATTTCTGCAGGGGTAAAAGTGCCTGTTTCAACATTATTGTGACACATATTTTCCTATTAGTGTTTGCGTAGGTGAGTATTCATATAGGCAGACATCTCAGGTTACGAAAGTAAGAGTGGGAGTACAAGCAAACGGCCAGCATGGAAGCCTTCTTTTTCACACTGCAGCTTCAGGAAACTGATAGAGGGGATCAATTTGAATATGATGGGTTTCTATTTGATCCATACAAATAACTTCTAACTCATTGAGCAGTTTTGGCTACTAAGCACATCCTCAAAGTGCGGCTTCCAAAACCCAAACAGATGAGATAAGTAGGTACAGCTGAATACAGGGAACTCAAGCGACTGCGTACCTCAATTATTTGCTGAGTGGTTATGACAGCTGTGGTATCACCGCTGCCCTACCTTTAAGGGCTGATGTAACTAAAGTTTATAAAAAGCTTTGACTTCAATAAACACGAAAAATCAAAACCCTACTTCTGATCATAGTAAAGAAAAATCTGGAGTAGCTGTATCAGAAAGAAAGAGCAAAACACACATCCCCTTTCCCCCCAAAAGCATAGCAAGTTTTAATGACTAGCTTAATTAGACTACATTTTCACGTGGTATCGCCAAGTAATGGTAATTGCTGGGATTCAGCAGCAGTTAAATGCATGTGTAGGTGAGTGGGCATGGCTACTCCTGCTTCCCCAAGACACTTCTGGCTCCTGCACAGACTGCTCCGTCTCCAGAGTTCTCTGGCTCCGTCAGTCCACTAAGGTATATGGGACTTCAAGTCCCAGTACCTTCAAAGACATGTGAGCCCAGCACAGGCTATGCACATAAAAGTAGGCAATTTCTTATTGCCTAGGTAGACAACATGTGTTGGTAGAACTGAAAAAGTTTCATTGACTGGGCATCAAACAACAGTGGCCCGTTACCGATTCTAGGACAAGAACAGAAGTGGGCTGCCTAGAATAGCACGCTCCATTTATGCTGAGCCAGGTCCAAATGTCCTACATCTTGAGCAGGACATGAAAAATTTCCAAATTAGTTTTAAAAACCAAGCGTTTTTACAGTTATTACAAAAAGTATGAAATAAGCTATACAAAAAGCAAGCTAAGAGCACAGAAAATCCAATCCCCCAAGCAATTCCTGTTACTGCACATATGTACCTACGTAACCACTCCTCTCCTTCCACGCACAGAATGTGCATGGAAAATATGCTCATTGCTTCATGCTGCACTGTATGACAGGGGATGTATAGCCTTAGGCAGGCAAACATAAAAATCCCAGCTGGGTGCTGAGTAACCATGGAAAGCAGGGAAAAATATAATCAAACACTTTCATAATAAAATAAATAAGTGTAAACTTAATGGTTCAAGTTAGCAGTTTAGCATCCAGAATTGCTACAGCTCAGACTCCACCTGTCAGTCAAGCTTCACAGCATCTGGTAAATAACATTTTTCTCAAGTATTGAGAGCAGAGGATTCTGCTTAAGAAACGATCGGTAGTCTTTTGTTCATTCAACTCTCTTTCTAAACAAGGAAAGAAGTGTCATATAAAGTGCTAATACAAACAACATTACCTTATCCTATGGAGGGTGTCTGGGTTTTTTTGTTTTCATTCTCTTTTTTTTTCTTTTCTGTTTTTTGGAGAAAGCGTATCAGTAAGCCAAGAGTTTAAGTTACTGTAATAGATGCCTATGGATCAGGTGTCCTTAGCAGCAGCAATTTTCTGCTCAGGTTTTTACCAGTAAATGACAAGCACCTTCCCTTTGAGTCCCCATCGCCTCCCCTCCTTCCTTTCTTCAAGTTCAGTGGAAACCAGTTCAAGCAAGCAAAGGAATCAACTAATGTAACAGCCTTTTTAAAAGGTGAAGTTTTCCATTTCAAAGGAGCCTCTAATCAATGACAGGGCGCAAAAGGGAATGCACGCATGTTTATGCGTGTATAGCACAGACTTTAGAAAAGCTTTGGGGAACACGTTCTTCAAAATCAATATGACCTAGCTAGTTACAAATTTCGTATCTGCTGCATGAAACAAATGGACTTCTTGTACAAGCTGGGTCACAAGGACCATGCATATTACACCAGATTTTGCATATGAAGAGCGCAAAAAACCATGTATTCCCAAATACGTTTTCTTTAAGAACATACCCACAAGTCTCACCCCGCCACACAGAGGAAGAACCAGACTAAATCAACCTGTAAATTTTATTTCTCTCACTGTTATTTACTTGTTTGACTTCCCAGTTATGGCAGCTGTCCTCTCTGTTTGACTTCTGAATACTCCTCTGCCTCCCCTGACCACACAATGACCCCCAGTTTTGTTCTACAGCAGCAACAGAGAGGTTCAATCCTTCCAGCTCCGTCAGGCCTGCCTAACTTGTCCCCCAAAGCCAGGTGAGGAACACACGCTGCAGAAATAATTATTGCTGGGCAGGGTAACATTTTGTGCCAGGAAATACATCTTTCTGAGATACTTCGGTCTTCAAAACCCCCATCTGATCCATTCCCACTGCCTTGTGACATTCTATCCCACAAAACATCATATATTTGTATTGGGTACTGAGGCCATTCTTTTTTCACCAAACGTACATTATTCTAAATTTTTTTAACAGGAAAATAAGGACCTGCACTAACAACTGTGTATAAAGAATGACCTGAAAGGGAAACAAAACGAATTAATTCAGTGTGGAATTGTGCATTTCATGTTCTCATTAATCAGCATTCCTGGAGGAGAGGACATCCAACACAGAAAAATAGCAAAAATTAAGACTCTCCCCTCCTCTTTGTGAGTCCTCTTATTTCTTCCTGGATGCTATCCCAGAAATTTGTCATTCTGTGAGTTTCACTGTGAGAAAACTTGTAGTATTTATGGTATCCCCATATGGTGCTACTTGGAATATTTCTGGTAGCAAGACATTTTAGGAGGGGCATTTCATAAATAACTCCATGTTTATCACAGTTATCATATGTCTGTTTTGCAAGCTTGTCGTTGGTGCATGTTAACCACTACATGGACAGGATGCCCAGTTTACAGCAGTTGATCGTATGGCCATGGAACAAAGCTGTGAGAACGATCTTTCATAAGCTAGGGAGGAAGGAGGCGAAAGGAAAAGAGCTTAGTTTTTAAATAGTAACATTAAGAAAAAAAATGCTTTGTTTATATTTGTGAGCACTTGCTAGGAAGCACACTTTCAGAACAGTGCTGTTGCCTGCAAGGTTTTCCCTTGCAAGATTTCCAAATCTTTGAGCCACTTGACCTAAACAGTTGATTCCCCTTTATATTTAAAGGTATTTTTATTTCTAGAACCAGCTAGAGGACAAGCTATCATGTCCATGCAAAGACATCAGAGATGAGAATTTTAAGAACGGTAGCAAAACTGCAGTGCTGGTAGCTAGCACTATTTCTATACATCTTAATTCCAAGGCAGACAATGAAAAGTTGAATTCTCTAGGATATGAATCAATTATTTACAGCAAACTGCCTTTATACTCTGGGCATTCGCTGTATTTTGAGAAAGCCTTGATTCCAATTATATTTTGGTGAAACCTGCTATTCAATTGCTCTTTCCCCAGAGAAGTAACCCCCCCCAAGCCTTTTACAATAAGGATTGTCATTATTTTCCCTGGGAAAAGAAAAGATACACCAGGACATTGCTAACGTGTGGCTTAAAATGAAGGCTGCGTTTGGCACCAACTAAAAAAGCCCCAGCACCTAACAAACCTCGGTCCTGTGGCATTGGTGACTGGCTCAAGGCAGGGTGGGAGCTGGATTCTGACTGGCTGCCAGGAGGCTGCGGTGGCATCTGACTGCCTGTAACACACAGAGAAAAAAGGGAAAATAGACTTGCTTTTAACATTGCAATGCACAAAATCAAGCCTGCTGCATTTTTTTCAACCACTCAACATCAAAGAAAGTATCAGCTGTATGAGGTAAAGACAGAGCTCAACAGGTCTAGCTTTTTTCAGTTTTTTTTCTACTTTTCTTTCTTTCTTTTTTTTTTTTTTTGGAAACCCACGGAGGAAACATGCATAAACATATTTAGCAACAGGCATGGCGAAATGTTCAATTTCGTATTGAGCAAGTTCCCAACCTCACCGACATGATCCAATTTATAGCTGCAAATCTCCTGACACATATTTCTGTTAGAGAGTTTAACAAAATCCAAGTGTGCTGAACAATAGGGCTCATCCTGCCGAGCTTAAACTGGCCTCCAGCCAGGCAGACATGGACTGCTGCCAACAATATTACCAATGAAAAATTCAGTCAATACAAAAATGACTAACAACAACAGTTTAAAAAGTATTTAAATGAATCAGTGGTTTTAATATTATTTGAATGTCCACATAGAATATGGGAATAAAGAATAATATGTAGGTGCACGTGGTGAAAGTGAAGCGTATTTGAAAGAGATCAGGCAGAAAAGAGGTATCTTATTACTCAAATAAAAGCAAAGGGAAGATATTTGCTTATTAAAATATCCATCCAGAACAGACCAACCCATTTTTATGGCCTCGTTCAAAAGACACCCACAGAGTTTACCCACTGCTGTCTACCCACCCAAAGAACAACAGCGCCCACAGTGCTGTCTGTGACGCTCACGACACAAAATACTCCCTTTCAGTATTACCGGATAGTAAAACAGGTGCTTATTGCACTGATGCAATGGGTTGGAAAGGACCTTTAAAGGTCATCTAGTCCAAGTCACCCCTCTGGGTCACCATTCAACACCGTGTCAAGCAGGGAGGTCTACGCGACCACCCTCCCACCCCACAACACCCCAACAGCCTCGTGCCCAACAGCCAACCTGCCACAGCCTGAGCAGGAGTAAGAAGGGGACTTGGATGTCCCTTGGGAGGGACTCCTCTCTGCTGCTGGTCTGAGACATGCCTGCTTCTGACAGCCCAAGTGGCTTGAAGACCACCTCAGGTTAGGCAGCAAATATGTACTTTAAGCATTTAGACTCTGTAGTGATGAGCACGGTATAAATAGCAGCAGACAGATTTATACCACTCATCCTCTGAAACTGCTCAGATTGTTTTCCGTTTGAAAGAAATGGAAAGAATAAAAACACAGGCAATAGATTTGTGCCTGCTGAGACTCATTTCCTCCTGCTCAGCAGCTGCCCCTCCGCAGTGGTGGGAGCGAGAATCCCGTGGCCGGTCCTGGTGCTGGGAGCTGGGCTGATGGGGGGCAGCGGGGGCTGCTCTTTCTTTAGAGCCACGAAGGGCCCCAAGCTGGACGTAAACGCAGGAAAGCAAATGTGTCTGCTCTGCCCCGACCGCTTCCCAGCCTCAGAGCAACTGCCTCTCAGCACGGACTCTAAAGAAAGGCCAGATTGATGAAGAACAAAAAGCAAATCTATAAAACGTGGAGCGTAACCACTGCCTAGCTATTCAGATGAGGTGCATTTCCACTAAAAAACATGACAGTCAACATTAGCGGGAGCAGCTGTGACAACTGTCTCAGAGATGCAAATGCTGGACCAGAGGCAGAATTGCTCCTCCAAAAGACCAAACATGCCACTCAGCACCCGAGGCTTTGGGATCCACGGCCATTCACGAACTCTAAGGCATACAACAATAATATTCCAGCTTATGTTTTGATGTCACTCAAGAGCAGGCTGTGGAGACAGTTAAGTGCCTGCACCATAATGAACGCTTTCTGCTTGACAGGAAGGATTCAGTGACTCAAAAGTGTAAACAAACAGCAATTCCATGTTAACACAGGGCATTGCCACTTCCACTGTGTATGCCCGAGGCACTGCTACCAGACAGAATACTTCAAGTAGATCTGAATCATCCAAGATTTTTACAAATAATTAAAAAAAAAAAAAAAAAAAGAAAAAGAAAAAAAAGGCAGGGGTAGTCCTGGGCTGCACTACACAGCTCTCGGTGGGATCCCCATTTAGGAGGAGATTTGGCAAACTTTGAGAGACATTAATAGTGCATGAAAGATCTATGCTAGGCAACATATTCTCAATACATTTATACATGGTTTTTAATTTTTTACATTGATAATAACTTCAGTTATCTGTCAGGAGCCTTATCCTGCACAGACAGATGTGCAAGCATGGATTGGGACAGTCAAAGCCTAGAACAGTGCGTGTACGATATGTTACAAAGAAATCGTTTTCATCTGCATCCTTAGGGAATACAGACTCAGGAGTCTTGCAAATCCACTGAAATTATTAGCCTCTGAAACCATGAATGCCATTTTATTAATTCACTTTTTAAAGTTTACTTCTGGGTTTTTTTCTGTATTAAAAAAACTTGAAAGCAAAATTTTTGTTTCATGAAGGAAAACAATTTCATAAACAAGACCAACTCTACATGTATTCTAGCAAGTAACGAACTGGCAAGAGAAGTGTCCATTTCGCTAATTATCAGTAGGTGCTAAAATTATCCAGGTGCTGGACATGAAAGTATTGCACCAAAATGTTTTCAGCTGAACTGCCATTTTATCCTTATAAGTGACCTGAAAGGTAAAAGGAGGTTAAGCACCCAAATATCTTTGAAGACTTGAACTGAACTCTTAATTTGGGAATCTAACTCCTATTGATTGGGAGCTGATGACAGGACTTTAAAAACCTTTGAAGATCCTGTCTGCCATGCTTTTTAAGTTTCTTTGTCATGAAAAGAAATGACCTTAAAGATTTTCCCTTTCTTTCCTTTAAATGATATTAATCCTTCTCTCTTTCAACCAGTACTGTAGTTGGGATTCTTGGAAGGCACTTTAAATAAAACACAAATAGAACTTTTGTATTTTACTAGGGAAGCAAAACTTCCACAGAAGAACAACCTCTTTTCTTTTTAAACATAAACTGTACAGCTATTTAAGAGAGGAAAAAACACCCAACTTTTTTCACTGACAGACTACTGCATCCTTTGACCCAATGATACACAGAAGGAAGTTTAAACAGGGATGACCTTTTCCCATGTTTTGTATAGTATTATTGCCACATTGGTGAGATACTCCACCTGCCAAAGCTTATGCAAAGTGAATACTATGGATGTTTCACAACATTTTTATTATGCAAAATCACAGCAGATACAATAATGCATGCTTTAAAGGATAGATGCTGCCATCCTAGTTCTTTCACCTAGATTTAACAGAGGAGCAAAATGGTTTTCAAAGTTTATATAGCTATCTTGTAAAATTAGTTGTTAAAACTACCAAAACCAACAGCCTATCTAATATCATGTCTGCTATTTTTAAAGAAAAAAAAAAAAGTAAAGGCAGTTGAAGAGGTGAGAGAATTTAGAAATGCTTGATAGCACAGTTGTAAGCTGGTTTTCTGGTTTTTAAATTATGTTAGAAATGCTTTTAAATATTTTGCATGAGACTTTGAAAATCTATGCTTGAAACAGAGTCAGGAGAGACTGCACTGCACCTTTGGAAAAGATGGATTGAGAAAACTACCACATGACAATTGCATTATGACTACAGCCATGAAATCTGCAGTTAAAGTGTAAAAAGTAAATTCCTTAGAGCCAACATAGCAAGAAGGAGCAGACCTTTGATATGAGGGGTCCTTATGATGAATTATGGCCTAAATCACTAATGTTTTAAAACACGCTGAGGGCTCTCTGCTCCCATCTCACTGTAATGACTCTGGAGGATGCTCAGCAGTGGCACCCTGTACCAGTTGGACAATACCTCACAGAATTGTGCTCAACAATTGAACCAAGAAAGCGCTTCAGCAATAACAGGTTCCCCCTGGGAAATTACTAGTTAAGGAGGGATATCAGCACAGGAATTTTAAGATATGTGAGGAACTGGGAAACTAGGTGAGGGACTAATCACAGCCTGTGTTGAAAGAGGCACATTAGGCTGGAGGAAAGGCAGAAGTTAAAGATCTTGTGCATTGTCTTTGGGACAATTCTCAATCTAATTTAGGAATTAAGAGCTAGGACTGGATTAATGACATTGGCTGATTACAAAGCAGGGAATCTTAGTCGATACAGAAGATGATCAAAATACTATCTAAGAAACTAGACCACCTTTTGGCTTGGAGTAACAAAAATGCAAACATTTATACTCACGGACCAGAAATAGGCCTTTTATAACTGAAGAGCTGTGGGGTTATCAGTTAGAAGTGGGAGAAGGAAGGAAAATCTGACCATATTTGTTGACCTACAAATGGTTACAACCTACATACCTAACTAACCATTTGATATCACCCTGAATCAAACAAATGTATGATTAGGATTAATTAGGAGAGTTGTTTCCAGTAGAGGTAAGGAAACCTAATGCCAATGCTGATGTGTCACTGGTGGGCCTTCACACAGCCAAAATCAGAAAGCCTAATGCTAACTGGAATGGGAATCAAGAACAGCTACCAGCATGACGGGACAGGAGGCTGAAAGAGTGAGTACTATTTAGCACAGCAAAAATTAAAGCTGTGATTTTGTGACTTTGTTTTAAAAATATATTTGCAGCTAAATATCAGTGAGGAAAAACGAGCATGATGTTTAGGATGATAATCAAACCATTACTGGAATTTGAAACAACTTCCTTTTAGGAATAATGAGGTCCAGGAAATCTAGTGATTAAGTTGATATCTGATAAAATAATGGGATTATATCACACAGTCGATGTGACAGTAAAGGCTCACAAACCGGAAGGGACATTCTACATCAGAAATGAAAGATCATAAGTAGGCTTCTATATGGGATTGTTTTAAATGAGCTTTTCAGGAAATTGGAAGCGAGGTGCAAATGACCTCAAAGGAAAGAAATTTTTCTATGGGTAGCATAAAGGGAAACTAGTCATGTGGTTTGTGTTATCTCTTTCATCTTACAAAGCCTATG